CTCCCCTTTGGGAATTGCCTAAAGACACTTCAGTCAGTGGCACCGCCCCGGGGAGTCCTAAACAATTTCACATTTTGTCGCTCTTCCTCTCTCCCAGTGAACGAGAGCAGTCACTCACGTGATGTGCGGGCGACTCAGCTACAACTGAAGTTAGTGACGACAGGAAGTGACCCCTGACACACGCAGACACAAGAGTTAAGAGTCGGACATTGCTCGCTGACCCAGTTATGGGGTCCAGAGAGCACGTGACCACCACAGCACAGTCTACACGCCAGCAGGTCAGCCCAGGTAAGTCAGGTCTCTTCTGACCTATCAGCTAGACGTCTATTGCAAAAAAGCTACTCGACGGTCGCCGATTGGAAAAAAACCTCGATTCTCCTACTTCCTTCGGTAACTTGTCAGAGCTTACTCTTGTACAGAACAGAGTGTTATATAAATTCAATGTATTACATTTGATTTTTTGTTATTATTATTACTAGTAGTAGTAGTAGTAGTAACAACTCTGCCCTTCATTCTGAACTTACTTGACCCTTAACTCAAGAATTTGGTGGGACTAGGAAGTAAAGTAGACTTTTACCTCTCCGTTCACTCTTTTACTCAGCATAGTAAGAGAGTAACTAGATACACACTTGCCAACCTATACTTGTCATTGCAATTGTAATTAGTGTTCTAGGACAGACCAAGAGCTTGTAGTGACTCCAATGTTTTTTTAATTTTGGAAGTTTTAGTGAAAGCTGTCAAGGCATTTATTGAACATTCTTCCGTTTCAGGCCAAAATCATTAGGCTTAGCGCTCGTGTGTCGTGGGTTTTCAGTGACGATTTCAAATATATCCTGTTGAAGCAACTGGAATTCGTTGTTTTTAAAGATATTTCGACCTGCGAGGAATCTAGACATGTAAAGTGAGACCAAGAAAAAACAAACAAAGCCCGAACATTTCCAGAGCAAAGGGCTTTTTTGTGAGGTGTCGTGGCGAAATCAGGCGCTCGTCAAAATTATGAAATTGTAGAAACTGGCAATTTTCTGCCTGTCAGGTAATATTTATAGATTTTTTATTTATTTTTTATTTGGGGGGGGGTCTTAACACCGTTTTTGTCCAATTAAGGACTCATTTCTGGGCGGATTTTACCGACAAACGTTGATTAAAGGCACGTAAAAGTAAGTTTTCAGTTTCCATGGACTTTTCAAGCTATGGAAATAACCAAACTTTGGCGGCCATTTTCTCGCAAATTCTACCTTTGAAACCATATACGACCTCACCTTCTGATCTTCAATCTCAAATATTTTTATTTCTTTTCAAGATATATGGGCATTATTGTTTTCTAAGATAGCAAGACAACTGAACAAGTCTGAAAATGACACCAATAACACCACATGCAAAAAAAAATTGACGAGCGCCTGATTCCAGCCCGCCGTGACATATTTTCTGTCGTCCTCAGGCTTTGTCGCCGCGTCCACGATGAAAGATTCCAACAACAACGAGGCCAGTTCTCTGCTCCGTGTGAGCACCACTCTCACCACCATCAGCCGCAAACTCACGTCACGACCAGACGAAACAGACACGGTGTCTGACCCCTCGGCCCACGTCCTCTCAGACTCTGACCTCTCGGGTCGTGACCTCTCCAGTGACCCCGGACACAAAGGTCAGGCCATGGACGTGTCAGAGACACACACAGATGAAGTGGACGTGGAAGAGGACACAGACGTGTCTTTGCTGGACACGTCATCGGACAGTGACGTCACGGGGTCAGGATGTTTGGAGGGAGAGTCTGGACGACGTCACAGTGGTCACCTGTTCCGGCCCTGGGAGAGACAAGCTCACGATGTCACCGGGGACAAATCCTCGGACATAGGTAACTGGGACATATCTTTTTTTGGACCTTTTTATGATTTACTTTATTTTGTTGCGATTTTACAACAATTTTATTTTTGGGGAGTATGGAGGTGACAGGCCATTCTCGACAGTGTTATCAGAGTATAAACACCCCTCAGCTCCCCCCCCCCCAATGATCTGTAAGTTTTTAATAAGTCTATTCTTCTTCTCTTGTTCCCTCCTCTAGTCACTGCCCCCCCCCTCCTCATCCTCAGACGTGTGAACGAACGAGCACACACAAATCAGAAACACGAATGTGTATATCCCATGCATACGTGTATGTTGGTGCACGCCTTATTAGACTTCAATTGAATTAAAGCATCTGTATGGATAAGAAAGTTGTGCTTCGTTTATAAAGTGCCATCCACCCCACGC